TCCACAAGGTTGTCCTCCAGCTTGTGCCCGCCCGCGCGCCCGAGAGCCTCTCTGCGCACCACTCCAGACACGGACTCTCGCCCTGGCCGCGCGCCGCCCTATTGCCTCGCGAGACAGCGCACGTCAGCCGGACGCCGGCGGCGCGCCGTCTCTGCGCGCCGCCGTCTCCTCCCCTCCACCCACACTGCGCCGCCTGCGGTTGGGCACGTCGCTCGAGTGCCCTCACCGCCTGTCCCTCTCCGCTCGCAGGTGCGGCCACCGCCGGTCGAGCAGCGTGGCCAGCATCTCTGCGCGCCACCGCGCCCGCGCCGCGCCCTGCCGCGCCACGCCCGTGCCAGGGTTCCGGGCCTGCGCCGCCCGCTCCGCGCTGGATTTGCCCATGCGCGCTGAGCGCCGTCCGCCGGCCGCCGCCGCATCCTCGATTTCTCCCCCCGCTCACCGGGCTGCCTCCGTCCGATCAGGTGCCGAGTCTGAGGTGCGCCTCGCTCTTCATCTCCATCTAGATGCCTCCACCCTTCCAACCCGTCCCCACAAAGAAACGCAAACACAGCCCACATCCCTGTCACCAAGTTCCCGGTGCTGTGCGACTTCTCCTTCTACATCCTCTCCGTCATCCTCCTCTTCTTCTTCCTCCTCTTCTTCGTCGTATAAGTGCATCGGCAAGCTCCACAAGGCCTTCTCGTGGCCGCTCATCTCCGCCTTCAAGCTGTCGATGCCGGAGTCGATGCGCGACAAGTGCAAGTACTGGTTCACGTGGAACTTCGGCATGTCGGTCGCCTGGATCTGCATCCTCATCACGTGCGCTGCCGCCGCACCGCCGGCCCGACTCTGCACACACCACACACACCACCTCGCACCCCTTCCCCGCCGTTGCTGCTCCGTTGCCGTCACCGCCTCGCCCGCCACCGGCCGCCGCCGCCTCCTCCACTCCCCTCTTCCGGCCACCACCCTCTCCCGCAGCGCGTCCGGTCTTTGTCTCCCGCAGCACGTCCGCTCCATTTGGCTCCATTCTGCCCCGCCGCCTCCGCAGCCTCCGCAGCCTCCGCAGCCTCCGCCGCCTCCGCCCGTGTCGCCTCTCGTCTCCACCGCCACCGCCCTCGCCGCCGCCACCCTCGCCGCCGCCCTCCCCACCGCCGCCGCCCTCGCCGCCGCCACCCTCGCCGCCGCCCTCCCCACCGCCGCCCTCAGCCCTCGCAGCCGCCCTCATACCCGCCGCCGCTGCCGCCGCCGTCGCCGCCACCCTCGCCGCCGCCGCCCTCCCCGCCGTCGCCGCCACCCTCGCCGCCGCCCCCCTCCCCGCCGCCGCCCTCGCCGCCGCCGCCGTCCGGCATGCCGCTGCTCTCGCCCCCCGCCTCCAGGAGCGCCGCCCCCGTCGCCGCCGCCCTCGCCGCCGCCTCTCTCGTCTCCCACCGCCGCGCCCCTCGCCGGCGCCACCCTCGCCGCCGCCTTTGCCGCCCCCCCCATTTTCCACCGCCCTTCGCCCCCGGCTCTTCCCGCCTGCCAACCGGGTTCCACCGCCGTCCCTTTGCTCTCCTCTCTTTCGACCTTTGTTCCGCCCCTACCCCCCC